AATATATATATATAATAGTGGGTATTTAATCTCTCTATTTTCTCAAGTATTTAAAATAATTTTCATAAATAATTATATGATATGGAGATAGAGTCAATGAAGTCTTTTAAGACTTGTGGGTTTATATTGTCATGTTCTATTGTTGTTTTAATGTCTTACCATTTTATTTGAATTAATAAATTTAAAAATAAATAAATAAGATCTTTGGGATTTGGAATCCCAATGAAAGTTAGGCAAAGGAGTTGATTGGGATTGGGCATCCCAATTTGATAAGGAATTTAACTAAAAAAAAAAAAGCAAATAGAAGTTGAGGGACCAATATTATTATTTTATCATTCAAGAAATTGTATAATGGTCCAAAAGTCCAACGTAGACTTGTTTCTTTCACAATGGGTGAAGGCATCGACACATAACCAATTACAAGTTATTGTGCAGATATGACACAATGTAAGAGTGTCGACACTTACGTAATTTGCTACAACTGAGTATTAGAAGTTTTTAAACCTTTTGATATTGATTGTTTATTGATATTTATACACAATGTATAAGATTTTATGTTAAAAACATCTATTACTATAATCTTATTTAATGATTATATGTGTATAAAAAAATATTTATTAAGTGATCTGATTTTATAAATTAAAATAATTATTTATATAATATATTAATTTGCTTCATCTAGATTAAAACACATTGAGTGCAATATATAAAATATGTGTCAATATTTGGAGATTAAACATATATAGTTAGGAGCAAATAAATTATTGATATGACATGTTTTCATGTTTTGATTTGAAATCATTTCGTAAATATTATCATGCACATAACATATGCTATGAAACACATTTTAAAGATTAAATTTTAGGATTTTGTTAAAGCAATTAGCTACAATTGAAGGTATGTGAGTTTTATATACCAATTATTTATATATTACAATATCCTTGGGTTAAATTTCTTGAAATTGATTGTACTACTCATTTACAAAGCTTTTACGCTTGACTATTAATAAGGAAATTTATGGTTCTAACTAAATGAGGAGATAATTTTGAAACTTTAGATTTTATGGAAAATTATTTATTTTCATATGTGGTTTAGTATATGTGGTTTAGCATATGAGTTTTCTAGTACTGTGTTTTCTAATAAAAAAAAATAAAGTGTCCACATTTAGATATAAAAAACGTTTGTATAGTTGTCAATAAACTATCTATAGAAATTAATTATATATTTAGAGAAAGTATAATTATTATTTTCTACTAACTCTATGGAAGTTAAGAAAATTTTCAAAAAATATATATTAAAGGATCATTAAGAATTACAGTTTCAATGATTCGTCAAGTTGTATCAAGACAAACTATAATGGTACAACTATGCAAGGTAATTAAGTATAATTTTACTTATCTTGATGTGTTTTTGTATGTCGGTTCTAGCATATGAATTTTATAGTTTGACTAAATTTTAAACCTCTAAAGAGGTTTTGTGGAATTAAATTTGAGTATAACTCATGACATATAATTTGAGGTTAAATTATTAGTTATATAAAAAATTTTGTTAGCAATTAATTATCTTTAAGGAATAATTAAATATGTCTATTATGCATATTGGTGATAGCCTAATTATGGCCGTATATGAATTTTTTTTTTAAATCTTAAAGAAAAGATATTTGATAAAGTTGTAAAAATTTTAGAATTTGTGTATCTTGATTTATTTAAGATATCGATGGGATTTCATATAATTTTCTTTGAATATGAAAGTAAATGAGCTAATAAATATTTAAAGTTTTCCCAATGGTTTTAAGATTATCTCAATTCATATATTAAAGAATTACTATTATTAAAAATTATAAAAGATATGGTTGAGAGAGATTCTAAAACCATATATATATATATTGACGAAAGTCTTAATAATGTTTTATGATTAATATAAATATTAAGAGTTTATTTATTAAAATTAATGAGTTTTGTCACTTCAAAATTTTTGGTATATTAAGATATTTTGTTCTAGTGGGAGAGATTGGTTATGTCACTAATTATGATAAGAATAATGTGTCTAGAAAATCAGTGAGAGTTAAACAGTTTAGTACTTTCAGTCATTCAATGTATAATGATAAAATTATGAATATGATAAAGTTGTTTGGTTACAATAGAGAAACTTTCAGACACATGTGTTATGAATTATATGAAAATAATTCTTGTAAAAAATACAATTGTTTTTGTTAAAGTTAATACAGTCTTGTCACTCTTGTGCTTTTGTGTTTGATCAAAATTTTAAAGATCATATTATTTTGAACAATGAATAATGGATGATTATTTTCATTAAGATAATTTATATTTGATGGTGTTAGTTATCTATATAGATAACTTATTGACAGAATTCGATGGAAAAAGATATATCAAAGGGAATTGTTGATTTACCTTATAAAGAAAAGGTGACATGACGGTAAAATTATGAATAATGATTATAGTTATGTATTATTGTGGCTCTATTAACTAATTTATTGATCAAGATATTATAATTTTGTTAGTTATCTATGAGAGTTGTTTTAGATATTCTTAATTAGTGGGAGAAGTTTATTTCTCTACTAATAATAAGTTTTATTTTGCTTATTGTATCACTTTTTATTTTATGATGATGCATGTGCATTGTACTGATGATTTTTATGAGCTCATTTAGACATTAATAATGAGATCTTGATGTATAAAATATAAAGGCTTCTTTAGAAGTGTACAAACTTTTTTGGAAGTGTAAAGGCTTTTCTAAAAAAGTGAGGAAGATTATCTCTTTGGTTTTATGAAACTAGAATAAATTTTGAAAGTTTCCTTAGAAAAGTGTAAAAGTAATTACGTCCTAATAAAAGGATTTCTTTGAAACCATAAAGAGGACTGTTATGGTTTTGACATGTTAGATATTATATGGATCGCGGTGTCAAACTACATTACACTTTATCACACATATTGGAATTAATGTTGTGTAAATATTTGATACTTGTGATTGTGAGGAGTCTTGTGTTATTAGTGACATAATAACTGCACAATTCGATAGTGATATTTTCATTTAACGGAATTCTGTGTTGAGATTTTGATTTATATTTGTAGCCACTAAAGTTATGTTTAACCCAAGAGTCATTTTATAAAATTTGTTTTTAAAATTTTAAAACTAATTAGCATTACCTAAATGAGAGACTGTTGAAAATTTTTATGTGAGCTGTCACTAATTATATTTGATTTTCAAAACTAGGTCAAATGAAAAACCGATAAAGTCCAATAAAGTTGTGTGATCCAAGTGGATTTAGATTTTATCTCAGTTTTATATGGTGTAATATAAATAGGTGTAAGACATAGAATTAAAGGTATGCTACTTGATGGGGATACCCAAAATATTATTATAATGGATTAGGTTTCCTTTTCCACCCATTGATTGTCACTATACAAAAGTTGAATAAATAGAAGAAGACCTAAATCTCAATACTAACTATATTTGTTTTGTAAGTTTTATTACGAGATTCCAAATTATGATAATTTTTGAAAATTCTTAAAAAATTTTAGGTAATATATTAATTATGAAAATTTAGATACATAATTCATTTATTTTATAAAATCTTGATATTCTAAATTCTACGTGGATGCTTAAAATTCTAACACCTAATACTGAGCCAACCCATAAACCAACACACTCTCAATTCACAGACCCAACGGAAAACCCATCATTCTTCGGAGCCAGAATGCTCAAATTCCTCACCAATTCCATTACATTAGTGCTAGAACCTAAAAACATGCATTATGGTTGCTTCCGACATCCTTCACGGCGCAGACAAGAACCGTTAAACTAGTATTGTAAGATTCGACAATGGCATTGTTATAATTTCCCTCACACTATAAATTTATAATTATAATGTGG